ATCTTGCTTTCGCTTGATTTCAAAAACTGCAGGAGTCGTCGATGATATATTGACCCTGGAAGGACAGCCGTGCACCATCAATCACTTGCTGCACGAAGCGAAAGATTGGGAAAAGCACTTTTCTAAAGATTTCCGATTCCTTCATGTAATCACACACAACCATGAATGCAGCGTTACGTGCTTGAAGCATGTGAAAAAAACGATGCAAGAGAAAAGACAAATGTTAAAACGCAATCGGGCTCCAAATTGTCGTTTTTCCTTTTTTCACACAGTCAAAATTTCTGGCAAAACTGTTCGGCGCCGAGGAAAGAAAATAGTGCCGCAGGCAAAAATTCTTGATACGGATGATCCAAACCAAAGTGGCTTAGTGCAACCACAAAGGGGCCATCCCTTTCGGTCAGCAACTTCCGATGTAACTATGGTTTGTTGTCGTTGCAATTGCGATTTCAAATTTGTTATACGTGGCTTTCCACCAGATGACGAAGAAGACAGGCTGAAACTCGTATGTGACTCGTCGCTTCTTGCCCCAATCATCGGCCTTAATCAAAACCAACTTGCGCTTGCAGATTCCAAGGAGTTGCGTAGTTTTGCTCGCAATGTTGTCGCACTTCATGTTGCCGCTTTCAATACAGATCAATATGTCACAAAGTATGCTACCAAACCCATGGAGGCAATGCAATCGGCCATAGGTCAGTTCGCAGTCGGCATTCGTCGCCTTGAAGAAGAAGAGCAGACATCATCCGATCCATGGCATCCACAGTATCGGGCAAAGCGAATCACTGTCCGCTTAGCTGCTGCCGCAAACCGCAGTAGCTGGGTGTCGTCAACCGAATTGGCGACAACCATTCTTTGCTCTGGTCATTGTTGGTCTTCTCACGCGGAAGTTGTTTTATTTGTTGCAAGAGCTTGGTTCTTGATGCAGCAATGTAAACGCATATTGGAAAATACACCAGATCCATTTTTGCAACCGGCTACTGTGCCAATCACATCAATCGAGCTGGATGATCCGCACCCACACGACCCTCCAAATTATCTAAATTTGCCTGAGACTTTGATTCATGACGAACACGAAGACAGCTGCCCGGAGAACCAACATGAAGATCTTCAGGACGAAAGTGGGGGAGAGTCACAGGACGACAGGCAAAGTAAACCGAACGAAAATGAAGACGATACTTGGAAAAACAGTGTATTACGTACCACAAGCACTCTACATGACGATTACTTGCATCGAGGACCTTGGTTGGCGAGCATGCCTTTCTTTATCTACGCATCCCGGGTTCGTCGAGTGAGAAAACCTAAAAAAGAATCACGCAGCAACACCGGCATGTATTTTCAATTTGAACCGCATTACAATATGTTCGCATTGTATTGCCAAACTTTTGCTTTCCAAATCACCATTCCTCGTATTGTTGGACCAAGCATCCCTTCGCTGGACGATTCTGAAGGGCAAGCCGCTTACTTTTCTATGCTGTTTTTGCCATTGAAATGCGAAGGACCAACGTGTTGCGCAGATCCTTTGAATTGTCGCCCGGCTTTGGATTGCAAACCAGTAGCAAATTCAAAGCACAGTTTCATTCCAAGTTGGAAAGCTCACAAAGCAAAAATTGACTTGTTGGCTGCCCGTGCTGAGATGAAAAGCTATCAAGCCGAAAAAATACCCGTCATTTTTGATACCACTTTGGTCAAAGCCTGGTGGAGTACAGAGTTGCCACCCCGGGACGAGGAGCAGGCTGCTCAACTCCTGCGAGCGACTTTGCATCAACTTTTGTTTCGGAAATTTGGTCACTTTCCGGGACCTGTGCTTCAAAGTTTGTGTGATTGGTTGGACATCCAGTCCGGTGCCCATGCCGAACAATTAACATTGGAAGAATTTGTTGCAGTCGAATCAAAAAAACAATACCGAAATTTCTTGTTGCAACAAGTTGCAAAAACAAAACCTATTCGAAGAACACACCGCAAAGAACATGCAGCTGAAGAATTGTCTTCGGAAAGTGACGCAGCATCACATGCAAGTCCAAACGTGTTTTTTGAAGGCGATGACTGCGAAGAAGAAGAAGAAGACTTCATTGATGCAGATCTTCACTCGCAGCCCCAAGTCACATTTACCCTTTCAGAGTGTCAAGCAGTTTTGTCACGTGAGCGTGAACTTCAACGAATGCAAAGACCGGGAAGACACAAAGACTCAGATGTGCAAATGAAGCGATTCGCAGATATCTTCCAACAGTCTTTGATTGCAAATCCACGTGGCCAAGATGAGAAATTACCGATGAAACCACCCCTTGCCGTTGTAGCCAGCAGTGGAGATGCACAAGTTCATCAAAATGCAGTCGCCAAATTGCTGCGAAAAGAAACATTGAAAGCAGATGCCCAAAACCAGTGCCCATTTCCTGCAGACTTGGCGCCAGACTTGGCTGTGCAGCAGCTGGATGACCTCTTCGCACGAAATTCTGAACGAGAAGCTGCGCAGGTGACCGAAATTGATGTTCCACTTGCATGGCAAGGCCCAGCTAAATATGCCTGGTCCCTCATTCAAAAATTTCCTTTTAACCAAGAACAAATCGATCTCCTAGCTCTCTTGATACTACCACTTGAGACAGCGTTTCAAAACCGTGTAGATGTGTCAACCTACACACTGCCCGTGGACCTTGGTCTTGTCAGAACTTTACTGGTGGGAGGCGGTGGCTGTGGCAAAACCACTTTGATACTTCAAGTGCTCAAGCCATTGCTCACCACATACTTTTCAGTTTCTGGTGTCCAAATGGCTGCGCCGAGTAATAAAGCGGCACGGCTCATAGATGGAAAAACGATTCACAACCTCGCAGGCCTTCGAGCTAAAGACAGTTTGAAAGCCTATTCTCTTACTGTGCGCCGCCATGCAGACAGAAAGAAACTTGAAAACACCTTAGGCCAAGCAGGTGCGCTGATAATAGACGAATGGAGCCAACTCCAAAGCACATTGTGGCACGCTGCGGCTTTACGTGCCACATGCATTCGAGCTGCACGGCACCAACTGGAATTAGGTAATTACGCGCGACCCAGTGAGTTGTTTGGACGCATCACTTTCTTGCTGTTGTCCGGGGATCATCTTCAGCTTCCACCAGTACCAAAAAGCTCCTCACTGCTTGCTCCCCCTGAAGGAGGCGGCCACGAACACAAAGCTGGCTTGGCAATGTTTTCCCATCTCCCTCATGTTTTTGTCCTTGAAACAGCCATGAGATTTCAGGATGAGACCCAAAAAGTAATTCTAAAAAAGATGAGAACCCCGGGAGGGGAAAAACTAACGGAAGAAGAATGGAAAAAACTGTCCGACACAAAACTGGAAAACAATAATATTTTTCAATCGTCCGACCATCTCCTCGAATTCACGGAGGATTGGTTTCAAAGTTGCTATTTGTGGTCCATTACCAATATGATAGCTTACGTCAAAGCCAAGCAATCCGCAAAGAAAGCCAAACAGACGCTATTTTACATCCCAGCCGCAGATTGGCCAGACAAAACCTGCGAACCTGTTCATCTCAAAGAACTTCTCGGAATTCCAAATCTATCCAAAACCAAAAAGTTACCGGGGATTAATTTGCTTCACTTGGGTCAACGTGTTCGCCTGACAACTTCAGTTTTGCCTCCGTGGGCAGTGCAAGATTCTGTCGGCACGATTGTAGATATTGATTTCGCCGAAAAATTGCCACCTTTATTGCCAAAAGAATTTCTTTTGAAAAAGCAGCCAAAAGCAATCTATGTTAAATTAGACAATTTGAAACACGAGTTTTTGATGCCGCAACCTTGTCCAGCGCACCTTTTGTTTAATACAACTTGTGACGAATGCCGCTGCTATCCTGGTGTGGTGCAAGTTACGCCGCAGACTCAGACCTGGACCTACCATTTGGATGACGAGCAAGTCACTTTAAATGTCAAGCGCACCTCATTTCCCCTTTACCCTCTTAAAGCGTGCTCATTGTATACACTTCAGGGCACAACAGCCGAGCCAGGCCTCGTGGCTCACTTTGACCTTCCCAAGCGTGCATCCTCGGACATAAAATTCCTTTCCATTTATGTCATGTTGTCACGACCCAGGTCATTAAAAAATCTTTATTCCCTAGGTTTGGATGACAGCGTGCGTGCGATCATTGAAGCTGGGCCACCAGGAGAACTGCTCGAAACATTTTCTGCCTTGTTTGGTGAAAAAGCAGCTGCAACCAAGAGAGCAGCACGCACTGCGGCCGATACTTTGGGATGGTGCTGCTCTTAACGACATTGCCGTCGACGCAGCAGAAGGTAACACACACACAGATAAATGGCATGAATCAGCAGAGCCCATTGATGATGGAAAAAGGCGTTGACATGGTTGCGCCCATGTGACATGACTGCAATGACATTGAACCCTAACGACACCATTGATTAATTAGCTGATATAACCACTGTTGACATATATCCTGGAAACACCGAGTCTTGATACCCAGTTCCGGCACTGCTTTTGTGCACACCACGCCAGGCCTTGCCTGTGATGAGCCGTGACCACACACAGAAGCCGAAAAAAACAAACGTGCGAGTCTCCGGCACCTATGGCGACATGTTCACGATTCCTCTCGCATTTCATGTGTTGGCCCATGTTCCTCAATGCACTTCATCAATCCACCTGCTGTTTGGGGTCTACGGTGGTGTAATTTTTGTTTGTATATGTTTTGACCCAAAGAAACGCCAAACCACAAGCCATGCCATGTTTTTTTTGGGTAGAGACATCAGAAAACAAGTAATTTCGGGAGGTAAGAAGCTTGACTTGACTGTTACCCAAATGACCGCCTTTTGGTTTGCAACGTACCAGGATCGACCCCCCTCTGTCCTTGATGGCATCAATGGTAAACCACTGTATGATCTCTATGGAAAAGCAGGAAAAGCAGGAATCACCACAGGTTGACCGTCTCAAAATCTACACGGTCAAAAGCTGCAAAAATTTGGCCTCTTTCCGGAAAAGTAATCTTGGCTCTGTCGCAAGGCCGAGCAACTGGCTCGCTTCCAAGGCATCCACGATGCTGCAATCCAGCCGACCATCACGAGGGCAGTACTGGCCCTTACCCAGCGCTAGCGGACCATAGGCCATCAAACCTGCCACCTGCCAGTTGGATTCGCGACTCAGCCTCTTGTTTTTGGAGGGGAAAACAAACCCTCTAGCAGATCTATGCACGGAGTACGGGCGGCCTGATGAAAGTTGGGGTCCTCCGGCGCAGCGCACCGCGGCAAAGCGTTCCAAGCCGCTTCTCGGTCAGGAACATTTTCGCCCATGTTACGGAGTTTCACGAAGTAGCTGCTCCTGGCCCGTCACGTCACACCGCATTTTTTGTGATTGAACCACGCACCCGACCCGAAGAGACAAGAGTCGATCACATGATCATCCCAGGATTGTAAGGATGGAAAACCAATCGTGCGCTTGAAACCACCTGGTGGTAGCTGGACGCGTTCAACCCCTAGTGCAAATGCGCATGGTGTGGGGTGCCTCTTCGATCTGAAAACATGAATTTCGGGAGGCACAAACAAGTACACACAAACAGCCGCCAATGTCTTTCTGGCGCAACCGTCGTCTTAAAATTTTGGGCCCAAGGAACCACATCTTTTGTTCACTTTCAAGCCCTCGACCATCAGATTTTGGGTCACTGACTTTACCCACCCGTGGTGGTTTTGCAGGTTTCAATAATGCATAATCATTCTTGTCTTGGAATTTTTGGTCAAAAACCAAGACAGCTCGGACCTCTTCGAACTCTCGGACCGTCCTGGCCTGGTGGCTGGACCAAAGGTGTCTAGGCGCCACTCGGCTTCAAGAGCCTTCTCTCGGTAAATGGCCTGGCTAAGGGCGATTCCTACTCAAGGTATGTTGTGGCAAGTCCTGGGACAGTTTCATATGCGGAAGTTGAGATTGGACCAGCGATGATAAAGGATTTACCACAACTGTAACCATATTTGGCTAAACTTTGGTCCGCCAAGAACCCTGCGATTCTGGGGATCCAATGAACGTGTGCTGGAAAGGACATCGCTACTACCAGCGATCGGGGCTCTAATTGGTGTTGGTCCTGGATTTGGCTGATGTTTTCTTTCTAGGCAATGCAAAACGTTTGAAACACAATACCAGTAGTACCGCACAAGGCGGTGGCGGAAGTTTCAAAGATAGGAAACTATAGCAGAGGGTACTTGTTGTGATGCATGGATGGCAGAGCGAATCCGCTGATGGACCGAACGGTGGTTGGAGATGTGTTTTATGGAGTGGTTGCGGTAATGTAAGATATTGTAGTTGTAGTTGTAGCTGTAGTAGTTGTTTTAGCTAGCGGGTGGAAGACCGCGCGTGTAGTCGCGCTACTTTTTTAATATGGGGTTTGGGTGGGGTGGAGTCGGGCAAAAACGTTCATGTGACTTGCGCACATACGTGATGCTACGCTACGGCTAAGTCATGCCTTGGGGTCTCCGATGGGGAGGGGTGGGGCAATAACGTTCACGTGACTTGCGTTTCTCCGTGATGCTACAGCTTCCAAATCTGGAAAGCCTCCTCCTGAGAGCGCGCCGTGTGTTCATGCCACTGGTGCTTTGAAATGCATGCTCATGACCCACAAGAAAGGTCGCAAAAACATCTTGGTGACAGACTGTGCCCCATGTTACCCTAAACTCACCTCTGAAAATAATTTGGGTCACGAAGCTTGCAATCATAGTAAGGGCATCTTTTGCATCAAGAAGGGAAAAACATGGGGTAGATTGCTTGTGCACACCGGTGGTATCGATGGTGTGCGGAAAATTTCCAAAGGTGCAGTGTCAAGTTCTTGGAGCACACGCAAACATGGAGCTGTCAATCATCATTTGCTTCAGGGAATTCGAATTTGGCAGCGGCGATGGCACCATGGAAATTGCAAGGACTACATGAGTCTCACCGGCCACGCCCTAAGCAACGCTTGGCAAAGTGAAGCGGCTATAGCAGACGTAAAAAGCGACCATCATCCCAGGGCCACCAAACCTGTAAATACCATGTGATCGCTTCAAAATGACTTTATTTTGCCCGGCAATTTTTTTTCTAACGTTGATCAAAAAAATGTGCGGCGTCACAGCGCCAAGAACTTTTTTCAAAACGTGCTCAACCGCTAGCGCGGCTTCCCACCCACCAGGTTGTTTTTATGTAGTGGTAGTGTAATGCGGTCGAGTGGCGAGTGGAGCGTAGGGTAGCGGAGTTGTAGTTGTAGTGGTAGTTGCAGTTGTAGTTGCAGTTGTAGTTGTAGTTGTACTTGGCAGTTTTAGTGTGGTGTAGTGGCAGTGTAGTGTGGTGAAGTGGAATGTAGCGTAGTGGAGCTGGAGCTGTAGCTGTACTTGCAGTTGGAGTTGGACTTGTAGCTGTGGTGTAGTGTACTGGTAGTTGTGGTTGTCTACTACTACTACTACCACCACTACCACTACCACTACTGCTACTGCTACTACTACTACTAGTAGTAGTACTACTACTACTACTACTCCTCCTCCTCCTCCGCAACAGCAAGAAACACTTCAAGCAATCACCTAAGGCTGCAAAAGGCTGCTGCGC